AACCACTCCGAGTTTGGTACAAATTGGTAGAACGGTTACCGATATACTTATATGTGATCATAAGTGGGCGGTGCCAAAAAAAAATTTCCAAAATTTTACCATAAACGTATTTCTTGGTAAAGAATTGTTGCAGGCATCAATTTTGAATAAATTAGCTTCAATATTTACTGATTTATCGAAGATTTTGTATTTCTCTAAATTACCGTTATATGGGATGTGGGCGTGGTTATTGTCCTATTTTAAAAAGTTTCGGCGATTTTTTATGCTGTACCAAGGCCAACAACTGTGCCAAGTTTGGAAGAAATTGGTGCAGCGGTTACCAAGATATACACATGTATCCATAAGTGGGCGTGGCTACGCCCATTTTCCAAAAATTTATAATATTCTTATTTTTCGTCTAAAAATTATTGTAAATATCAATTTTGAGTGAATAATCTCCAGTAGTTACTAAAATATCGCAGTTTTCGTATTTCTGGAAATTACCGTTATATGGGAAGTGGGCGTGGTTAAAGTCCGATTTCGCCCATTTTCAATACCAAACTACCTTGGATTAAGGGAAACCTACGTGCCAAATTTGGTTGAGATATCTCAATTTTTGCTCGAGTTATCGTGTACACGGACAGACGGACAGACGGACGGACAGACAGACATGGCGTAATCGATTTCTTTTTTCATCCTGATCATTTATGTATACATTTGTCTATATCTATCTCGATTCGTTTTGGCTGTTACAAACAACCGTTATGTGAACAAAATTAATATACCCTTGTGCACAAGTGCGCTCGGGTATAAAAATTATCATTTTCCTAAATAGAGTCTAAAACGTAAATCAATAAGAAGAGACAGTACGTTATAATTGCAGCGAGTGTGAATATCAGGAGCGTGCCTTCTCTTTTGCCCAAATACGTTTTTTGATTGGATGAAAATGCCCTCCTGATATTTACACTCGCTACAATTATAACGTGTTCTCTCTTCTAGTTACGTTCTTTGGTATGGCTCAGCATTTATGAAGTTCTGTTGAATGTTCATATTGTTGTCTTAACCCTTAAAGGGTAACGTTATTTTACATACTTTAAAGGTAATCTTCGTCGAATCGAAGATTGCCAACTGCATTTAATAATGATGAACGTCAACAAGAAAGAAAACACACAGGCTACTTATTATTTAAAGTTTTTTATATTTTGGAGCAACTCGCCCCTCAGTCCAATAACGAGAAAAATGGAAAACAGAGCAACAGTGTTCGTTAAATCGACAAAGATTACTCGTTCAGGTTTAAGGCCAGTATGCAGCTCTCAAGGAAAGGGCCAAGAAAAATTGTAATTATTTCGTGTGTGTGTGTGTACAAGGAATATGTTCTCTGGGAATTTGTTTCTCCCGACAAAGAAATCCTCCAATAATGAACTCCCAGGGAGTAGCATTTTCCCCGAAAATTTGGGAGGAGAAAAATCGAACTTCTCAAGAGCTGTTTGACACTTTGTTGGCAGCTCTACTCCGCCATTTAATTTTAAAAAATCCTCAGGGAATTATTTTCATGATAATAGGAAAGGGAAAAGAGAGTAAACTCCCAGGCAGTTTCTGTTCAGAAACGGCCTGAGCATGTTGCCTCACTCTTTCCTCGAGAAATAATGGAACGGACATATATTTCTATTCCAAACATGGGTTGCCTTGTGCTCTTTTTCACAAAAAAAATTTAGATAATCGTAGTAGAAAGCGTAGCAAATTTCTTAAGAACTGCCTCAAGAAAATTTCTTAGCCATTTCTTGTACATACGTCATTTTATATTTGCTTTTCTTGAGAGGTGCATACTGGCCTTTAATATAGAAAAACCTGCTCAGTTTACGGATTGTTGAAAAAGTGTATAAGTGTAGATGTAACGTACCTTCAGTAACTTTGCCTCTTACTTTGAAGGACCCTAACACATAAGTTTAAACAAAAACTTATCGCACCTCTGACTTTGAACCTCCTCTTTCCACACCCAACTTGCATTTTTAAATAAAAGAATGGTTATACCAATTTCTTAATAATTTAAGCGATAATTTAAACAGTCGCCAGCTTCCAAGAATCACAGTGGAAAAATTTGTTCGGTTTTTTCTATGATAGCGAATGACAACTGAGATCCGTTAAATGCGTGTATTTTGCGAATAGTTGACAATACCCCACCATCTGATATCGGCACACCTCGAAAACGAAGTCTTCAGGATTGAAAATTTTCAAACCGCAATCGTCCTTGCAGATTTTTGTGGCTTTTATCGTGGCTTCGGAGTCTAGTTATAATTCACCATGTGCCTTCATCAAGATGCTAGTGCACTTTTCGCATTTAAGTTGGTCAAGCCCATAACCAGTCAAATACCGCTGCACCTGGACTTCAGCATTATCAGAGTCTTTAACAAAATATGATTTCTATCGGATTTTGTGGGCTGTAAGATTGGTGCTTGTACCTCGGCTAGCTCTTTCTCTAATAAAAAGGGGTTTCTAAGTCGTCTTGACAAAATTTACAGAGAAAATTTTGCTGTACACTTTGGTGCAGGTCAAAGAGCTCTTACGAAAGCATTTGCATGGACTTGATTTTTATACATGCATACGCGTTGAATGTGTTTTATTCGAGAGCCATTGAGGAGCTTCATTGACCGCAAAAATTCCAAATGTATGTCTAGTCTTGAGTTTTTTCCCGTGTCTCCCCGTTTTATTGGACACATCAATGGATTAGTCGAATTTAAATTTTCGCAATTTAGCTCATCAAAAAGGTCGTTCATCTTTTTGACAAACATAAGACTAGCAATAGTCGTACATGCAAAATATTCGTGTGACCTCATAAATAACATACAGCCGACTTTCACAAGTATTTAAAAGTTGAAATAAATCCACATGGTTGGGAGCTTGGTCGCAAATGACCGCTTTAACATTCAACACGATACTCTTTAAGTCCTCGATAATTTTGAATAAAATGTCTTCGTGTAAAAGGCCGTTCTTCGAAATATAGTATGAAAATACATATGTCCATTTCGAAAAAAGTCTCTTACGTTGGCCTTTCCTATGATTTTTCAAACCCATCAATTGTGTCAATAGTTTGGTTGTACGTGAAATCTGGTTTGATTCATATTTCGTCGAAAATTAAAACGCAGAGGCGTTCGGTAATGGACATATTTCGAACAAGTTGGCGCATGTTTTCAACGACATTTCCATCTAACCCCGGAACGACATACCGAATAGCAAAACCCAAATTGTCACGCATAAAAGAATACGATTTTGGGGAGATATAATCAGTATTTAGGGCCAATGCCCTATTTATCCCTCACTGTAAGAAACTTGAGTACTATTTACGATCATTTCGCAAAAAAATTAATAGCGTTGCTACTAGCAGAAGCATTAGATACAATTGTGTTGTTATTGGTTCAAAATTCATTGAGGAAAAAGCCTATTTTGAAAGCTCATAATTTAACACAAAGTGGGGCTCAAAATGGCGTTGACAGACGAATAAATTGTCAATATTTGCTTGAACGGAATGCACTGTGTGCAGTGAATTTATTTATGGATGGAGCCAAGTTGGATGGAAAGATAGTTGGAGGGGCTTTTTGCGTGGTAGTGTCTATTAATCTCAAGTTTAGTCCACCAAATTTACAAAAAGTTGCATATATGTATATAGTTGCATATACAGTGGGGATCAGAAATGAGTATACGGTTATTTGTTTTTTAATTATTTGCAACGTTTTTAAAGTTAAAATTTGTTTGCTATTTTTTTCAAAAAAATATGGTTCAAACTTTCGAACTTTATACAGAGTTAATAAAAATGTAACAAATTCTTATTAAAAAAAAATGCAAAATAGCGTTAATTTTTAAACGGCCCTATCGCGAATTTAATGCGAAAGCAAAACGAAAACAATTTTTGAAATTCATTCACATGGAATTGTTGTTGGCGGCTTTTGCGGGTTTTTTCGTATAACAAGTGGAATTTATAAAAACTGACGTTGATTTTTTAATTTTCTTTGCATACGGTATTGCGCCTTTTCTTCCCTAAGAAATTCATGCTTGTATGGAAAAAAGTCCAAAATGCCGCCAACAAAAAAAAAAATATATTAAAAATCAACGCGATTTTGCAGCCGCTTAAGCCTTGCACTTTATGCTAAAATTTAATGGTTCACCAAACATACTCGAAAAAAAAAATTCTAAAAAATCAGATTAATAAAGTTTAAATTTTAATGAAAATCATCTACTCAAAGCAAGCGAAAATGCAAGTACAAATTCTGATTTGTGCCCATTTTTGTAAGGGCTCCCTATGACTTATAAGGACCACCGCGCACACAACGATCGGCCGTAAAGGAAATCTTTTAATAATTTTTCCCGGTTTCTCACGTACATATGTATGTACATTTTATAATGTGCACATTTACTCACCCAATTTAAGTGTTGGGACGGACAGCACCTGGTTTCAAGAACTTCTGACCCACAGATCCACACGGAAAATGCTCTACAAAAAACAAAGGGGTCGTGCGGCGGAAGATTCTCCCTGGGCACGATGCGTGGATTCTTCCTGCTTCATTTGTGTCCCTGGGAAATGAAAAAAAACTGCGTTTCTTTATTTTCATTATAACAATTTCGCACACGACACTTGCGCGCTCTCGAGCTCATATTTCATTATTTTTTGGCAACAATATTTTCAAACAAGCAAAAATGAAATATATCAGAAATTTTTCAGTTTCGCTCAATGCAAAAAGGCGAATTACAGTTACATTTTATATTTCAAGACAAACATGCGATTTTACAATTCCATTTTACTTTCAAGAATCACTTGTCCACCTGTGAGTGGAAAGTGCGAAAAACAGTCGATCACAGTGGCACCCAAACTGCTGTTTTGGGAACAAAATGCACTAACGGAATCGGTTAAGAACAAATAAAATTCCATTCATACCAAACTTTGACCACCACTGTAGTAGCTAAAAATCGCCCTTCTCCAGTAGATGTCGCCAAGCACAGTATCCAGAAAATGTGCAAATGACGGCTGTAGCTGTCAAAATTTCTTGCCATTATCAATTTCGGATTGCACAAGAAATATTCTGTGAAAATTGGAAAATTTTGTAGTGTTCAAAAAAGCCCAAAGGTCAAACAAGTCCTAATATTGGTCAGTAGAACTTAAGGAATAGCGAACAAAATGTCAACGAAGAGTATTTCACTATTCACACGTACAAATCGCTTTATGGCTGCATGGAGGAACCAAAACGTGACGTCCACGACTAGGTAAGCACACTCTATCGCCGGTCCAGCAGCAGCCATTGTTGTTGTGTTGGTGGGTTGGACGCTTACGGCTGCGGTGCGGCGATAATAGGATGTGATAAGACGTGATGTGACGTAATAAATAACATTGCGCTTTGAGTTTGGTTACTCTGTGTATGATGCGCCATTACTTGATTTTAATAATTTTTTTTTTCTCGATTGAAAAAGTCGATCCTTGCGCCACTATAGTTCGGAAAATTCGGCACAAAAACCTCAACAATCGGATACTGAAGGTTCAAGTGGCCAATTGGAAAATGCTGTTGCCGAGGCGACAAAGAAGCTTACACAAGAAATTGAGCAACTCAGGAAGGAAGTGAATGAATTGAAGGAAAAGAATGATGATCTGACTGACAAGTACAAACGTTCATTGGCTGACAGTGAAAATCTGCGTACACGCCTCACTAAACAGATAGCGGATGCAAAAATTTTTGGTATACAAAGCTTTTGCAAAGATTTGCTCGAGGTGGCGGATACGCTGGGGCATGCCACTGAGGCAGTGCCGAAAGAACAGGTATGTAACTGAGTTCCAAATTTATATTACATAACGCTTTAATTACTTCAAACTTTAATGTATTAACATTTTTATAACTTTGCCCTCTCCAGGTCAACGACAATAATCCACATTTGAAGAATCTGTATGAAGGTTTGGTGATGACCAAAGCTTCACTTTTACAAGTGTTCAAACGTCATGGTCTTGAACCTTTCAATCCACTCAACGAAAAATTCAATCCAAATATGCATGAAGCGCTTTTTGAAAAGGTGAGTGTTTGATTTTTGACGTTAACGATTCATTTAACTTCAATGGGAATCAACGAACCAATTTTTACAGGATGAACCTGATGTAGAACCCAGTACTGTCGTGGTAGTTACCAAATTAGGCTACAAATTGCACGAACGCTGTATACGACCTGCGCTGGTAGGTGTTTCGAAGTCATGAGTTCGCTACTAGTAAGACGATAAAAATTTGAATAATATTGAAAAGCAGCTTTTCAACACTTGTGCAGCTGTTGAATCCTGATATGTAGTAAACTCGTTTTTATAATTTATCTTTTGCTTAGTGTGAGAACAAATCTATTAGCAACTACCTTTAAATACTCGTGGATTTGTTCATTCCTAAAGACCTAATTTTGCATCGTATTACGAAGGGTATATACATATACATGTTAAATAGCAAAGCAACCAAAAGGTAACAATATACCAAACTGTTGCCAATAATTCTTATAACGTTTATACATTACAGATAATGTAATGCATAAGTTCCTTGAATAATATTTTTCTCACAACTATGTTTTTTGTTCTATTATTTCCCAAATGAAAAAGTAATGAAATTTAACGTATTTAGGCCCCACTTAAAATTCGTGCGACTGTAAATAAATGTGCTTATGCATTTCCCTTTATTTGTGGCAGTTGATCGCGATATGCACCATGTGCTATGTGTCCTTTGTGTGAGTGCTTTAAAAGTTTTACTTGTTTTTCTTAAAGACTTACACGAAGTACATTTTCGCTAATGTATAAAATTTATCTTAATTATAATAAAATGGAAAAACAAATTATATGTTTCAAAAATATAAACATCGCTCATATATTTATACATTCCATTAATTATTTGAAAATCATTTTTGTTAATACTTAAGCACATAAACAAACTCTTAATTCACTACTTAAGTGTTTCGGCGGTCGCCTGTAGCAGCTTACGCAAGTCCTCATCATGTTCTACAGCGCGTTTAACTGCCGCCAATAGCTGTGCATCAATGGGCGATGAGCGATCATTTGTCAGTGGTAAATGGCTCACTTTGGCAGCCAATTCCGCCAATTTGGGCTTGCTTTGCAGCAGCGTTTGCAATTGTTGCGGCGGTATATTGGCTGCACGTGCCAATTGTATATGCGATGGTACATAGAATTTCGGCGTGTTCAAATGGACTGTCGTTGACATTGGATTGCCTGCAGCAGCGTCGTTATGTTGTGGCAGGCGATTTCCGAAGACAGGACGGAAAGGTATGGGATAATGATACGGTAATGGATTACGTATTAAAAGCGGCTTGTGGGGATGATGTACGCCTGTTGGGTGGGCGCCTCCATGATGTGCGGCTGCTGCTTGCATGCGTTTCCTATACTGTAGCTGAGGTTTAATGTATTTACTTAACTGCTGTTGCACTTGCTTGCGGGCGTCAGCAGCATCGACGCCATTACTTTGTGGCCATAAGTTATAAATGTGAAAATAGGCTGCTAAGCGCTCGAGCAGATTGCTCTTAGGCTTTGTTGATTCTACAATAGTCCGTCCACCGTCCATTTCTTGCTGTTGTTGTCCACGACGCGACTCTTCCGTGCGATCGGTGAAGTCTGCAGATTCTAGGTATGCTTTTATCAGCTCAATGCCTTGATCAGTGTTTGTTAGCTGGCGTATATACTTAATGGTTTCTTCTGCATTAGAAGTGCCGAGAAATTCAGCCAGCTCACTTATGCTAGGCACTTCATCGAGACTTCTCAGACCGAGCTTTGACCGCGCTATCTCGAGCAGATCATGCGGAAACTCGGCAGCCGTATAAATTGTGTTGTCTGTTGACGCTTCAAGCGAATTGGTTGTCAAATTCACTGTAGTGGAAATGTTAGTGTCGATATTGGTATTCTCAATCGTATTGGCCGCCTGTTTGAAATTGGCTTCAGTCGTAGTGCTTGTCGTTGGTGCTTTTGTGCTGGTTGGTATTTCTGTGCTTGTGCTCTCTTCCTTATTTTCTGGTAGCGCATTTATGATCTGATATTTGGGATAGTATTGAAGTGAATGGAAATAAAGTGCTTGTTGTCGCGTCGCTGTAGGCGATAAAGTCTGCCGTGCCAAGGACCACTTGATGATGATGAACAGGCAAAGTATCTGTTTACAAAATTTAATTAGAAAAATGCAAAATTACTTTTAATATAATGTGGCTTGCACTTACTCTGAAATCCATGTTCGTTTTCTTACAATTTCCCGCCTGCATGCAATTTAAAATTTATTCGTCTACTTGCTACCAGCGAGCGCGATCAACTGAACCATTTCGAAAGGAAGGTTGTCTTGCTTGCAACATGCTGCACAAATGCACAAATTATAAGATGTGACGGGCATTCATGTACAAATGTGTGTTCAAAACAAATATGTAACATGCATTTGAAAATGTTTGACATCTTACCTACCTGACTTTTATTTTATTTCTCTTTAACTGATTGCCTAGTTCGTGATCCCATTGAAAATGTGGGTGATGCTTCGTGTTATGGCTACCAATAGCAATTCTACCTGCGGATGTTGCTGTGCGTGGGCCATTTTATGGTTTATTTTATGATTCCACTGTAACGAACAATTAACATTCTACGAAGAGCATTTTACACTGAAGTTTTGAATGGCCACTGCTTTAACAAAAGTCGTGATTACAAAGTGAGTACCTATGTACATATGTATGCATGTACATACATGTACACATAAGCATGTACATATGTTTGTATATCAGTTAATACAGTAAGCGCCAAAAGAAAATGCACTGCTGGGCTGAATTATTTGTACTCAGGAGTATACTGCAAAACAAATTGTGTAAAAATGCTGAGATAATATTGAAATTAACTATTTTTTTGGAAATACTGGAAGAATCATAGTCTTTATACGCATAAACAATGTTAGCTTCCAAAGCGCATAATCCAATACCACGGGAACTAAGAAATATGAATCCAAGAAATACCGTTGTTGTTGTTGTTGTAGCGGCTACAACACCCCCGCCCAGGACGGTTGGTATCTCAGTCGTTGTCGTCAAGTTCCACTAACGGCAGCCCTAGGAAGCGTGCAGCTTCTGTATGGTTGGTCCACAGGGACAAGGCCGTTAGGGTTGATGGGTTTTCCGGGCATGCGAAGAGATGTTTCGAGTCATGTCCGCATGCCGGACACTCATTTGGCACATTCTCATTCAATCTACTCAGGTAGGAGTTTAACCTGCTGCAGTAGCCGGAGCGAAATACCGTTGTTGTTGTTGTTGTAACAGCATACAAATTCCCCAAAGAGATTTTGGGGAGTGTTGCTGGAGTGGTGGCAGTCCTTGGCCAGATATATATCTATCTGGGTCGTTCCGGTTACGTAGACCCGACTGTCGTGGGAACGAGCGAAATACCGTATTTGGTTTTGCTGTTAGGAACTTATCCATATACTAAATGGAATAGGTACTTAACCTAAAAAAATAAGTAAAAGATTTTAAAACTTTCAATTAGAGGAAACGTTCCTATCACCTATTAACAAATCAAATAAACGCTATTCTGATTGTCAGTAGTCTTTTTACCATTTCCGTTTTTTGGTGCTACTATTCTGTAATCTTAGTCATTTCAACTACTACAAAGAGATCAGAAAAGGGCATAATTAACAGGTATGTACATACATATGTATGAAGCTACGTTTTCCTTATGTATCGTGTACGGTGACACATACATTTATGTACACATGCATGTAAATCAATTCATAGGTTATTTATTAGCACGTGGTGTGGCAATTAACATCTGGCTATTTGGCAACGTGGTACTTCAAGTAGTACTCATCTTTAATATGGTACTTTGTATATCATGCTCAGCAAGCCTTATAATAAATTACTTATTACCTCAAACTGCACAAAATACTCATATGTTTTTCTCCTAATATTTTTAAACTGTTTTAACAAATGAATGTTGGAAAGCGCCATCGAAACGAGCTATCCAAAGGTATTTTGTTAAATATTTCTATTTGTCCGCAAATAGCACTCGAAAAGCCCAGGTTAATGACGGCCAATGAGCGTGCATTGGACAGTGAATAATTTGCTATACATACATACGTAAACTATAACTAACTACGTATACATTGAATAAAGTTTGTAGATACATTTTTTACGATTGTTTTAACAATTTACTATTTGTCTAGCGCTATTTAATAACAGCCAGCCAATGGAAAAATGTCAAGTATTTATCTTTGTCCGTAAATAGCACTCTTATGTCCAGATAAACGTCGACAAATGAGCGTGCACTGGAAAAAAAACTTATAAAATTTGTATTGCATTAATAATCTAATTAAGGATAGCAAACTATTTGCCAAACCACCTCCGCCAAATGCTAAAAATTTAATAAATGGTTCAGCAAACTACTTGCTGCTGTAAACTGAAATGTCAAATCGTTGATGTCGCTGCAAGCGCACATCCGCCATATGACTTTCGGAAGTGTTCCGAAAACGATAGATATTTTGGAAATGCTTGAAGTTGGCAAGTCAGTGAAATCTAAAAATTAAGAGCAATAAAAATATATTTTTTATTTTAAGTTATTTTATTTTTTCGAGGGCAGAGCATTTTCTGCAGAAATGTTATTAATATTATAACTAATACAAACTTGTATGCATGTAAATACGTGCTTGTATACCTAAGCGCTCACTTGCGGCTTTTTTCTTTGCTTTTCATTTCCTGTACCTTCCGTCAAATACCGCGAATAAATTTCTACTAGACGCTGTGTGTATTGTACCATTTTAAAAGTTTAATTTGTGCAAAAATAATATATAAAAAGTGCATTCCATAAGTTTATTGTATTACAAAAATGCAAATAAAAGTATTTGGTGTAAAAATCTCATCTCGGTTTCTGTAAACTGTCAAGTGGTGGTCGTATAGGCAATTTTATTTGCAAATTAATAAAATATGCTAATTTTTTCGCCTCAAAAGTGTTAGTGCATTAAAAGTAAAGACAATTTGCATCCATTTGTGCTAAAGTGTTTAGTGAAATCAGAAATATAAAGGCTAACGGCTACTTATTATTTGTCCAGAGCAGTTGTGTGGCGATGCGTCTGCTTGAAAAAGCTGGACGACATCCTGCAAAGGATTTTTAAAGTGTTACTGTATTAAAAGGAAGTCGGTTAGCAACCGTCTTAACCAAAGTGCTTAGTAATATGTGAAATATGTATGCATCACGGCTAATTGCAATACGTACGTAAGTATGTCTACGGCAGTTGTGCGGCGGTGTGTCCGCTCGAAAATTGCTGAAGGATATCCGCACAAGTTGATTGCCGGAAATCAACTTATATACATATTTGGTAAATGATGATTTCGCAAAATGAATTGGAATCTTTTTTCAAGCCGTCCTAAGGTGTTTTGTTGTAAAAAGGTGAGTGGTCAATGTGTTCTTGTATTATATAAAATTTAAGACTGTCCGTCATTGAATACATATGTACATACTCTGCAGGAAGTGACGTTAACTTATACCTAACTTAAGTCTGTTTACGCGAATACTAGTGCTAACTATTAACTGTATATTTTGTTCGAGAAAAACTAACTACTTTTGTAAGGCGATGACCTCAAATATGTCAGAACTGGATACCTCTGGAATACATATCAACTAACTTTTAACTAACTTCTTTGGACATAAAATACCCATAAAAAATATTTTGTTATTTTTATATATTTTTTGCATTATTTTATTTAATTAAAATTCAACATTGCATATTCGTATATTTGTTTACATATTCTACAGAGGTGGTCCCATACCCGAATTCCGTCAGACATAACATCAAAATGATAATATAAAATTTCGAACTTCCCTGCAGTGAAAAATTATCAATTGTTAAAAGTAACTAACTTGTAGTTAACTTTCTGGCGGAATTTCGATAAATTCCTCACCTTTATTTAGCTATGACAAAACCAAATTAAAGTGAGTTGTAAAGTCGTGCAGAAGTCATGCAGACGCAATCGGGAGTTCGTTTTCTTTACAGGTTTCTAGTTAAAAATCCTGCATTTAATGTCCTGAATACGAAAAAGTATTTGTAAAGTGCAGAAAAAAATGTATTCAAAGCAGTTTTTGTATGAGGGTTTTTAAATGGAAACTTGTAAAGAAAACAAACTCCCGATTGCGTCTGCATGACATCTGCATGACTTCACACCTTCTTTAAGTTGATATTGTCATATCTAATTAAAGGTGAGGAGTTCATCGTGATTCCGCCAAAAAGTTAACTACAAGTTAGTTATTTTTAACTATTGATAACACAGTGCTACAAAAAAGCATAAAGTAGAAATACCTGGGAAGTTAGTTATGTATGCAGCACTTTCGTTATCACAACGGACAGAAAATATAAGAGAGCCATAAACATAGCCAGCATCCTTAATAATAATATAATTAATGAAATTATAAAAAAATAATACTTATACCCTCCCAAAATTCGGTTATATGAAAAACATAAGCTGTAGTTAGAGTGGCGAAGAGACATTTTACCTCTTTTTGGCTATTCCCCTTTCGATTATTTAATGTTTTCTATTATTTAACGCTATCTAACAAAGATCATGTAAGTCAGAATTTCCAACTTTGTACAAAAACAGCAAAATTCGACAAAGTTTCATCAAAATTTTGAGCTTTTTAATTAGAATTCTTAAAAACATTCTGAGTATGCAGTTTTTTAATCTATTCAATTCAAAGTGGAAATTTTAAGTAGCTAGGACTTACCGTTGGCATTTGGTAAATTTTGTGGAAGGTATTGCTCATTTTCTTCCATACACAATTTTTTTTGTCGATAATCAACGGTATGTCCAGGCTTCTTCCCACGTGCACTTTATGATACTAATTAAAATGTTTCAAATTGTGGTGAACATTTATTAAAATTTGTTGAATTTTTATAAATGTTCTACGAATTTTGAAATTTTGATTTACATGTTTTTCATATAGTAAGTTATATTTTCATAAAAAAATTATAAATATTTTTGAATTTTTTTCTCTTTGTTTTGTTTTAAATAAAACTGTAAAATGTTTGGGTTTAAAATTTAAACCGAACCGTTTGAATTCTAAACCCAACATATGTGCTCTCTTTTTTTAAACTTGGAAGGTTTGTTTTTGAAACTGCATTTAGTTTGGTCATATATGTAGTCCAAAAAGTTTAAAATTAAAACCGAAAATTTTAACCGTGTACTGGTATCCGATATTACTCTCGAATAAATGTTGTTAATTAATTTAAGAGGGCTAAAAATTGCTTTAAAATTATTTTACAGATAAATAAATAATGTAAATTCCCTAGTTTCTGAAACTTTTCGGGTTTCTTCTACGAATTATAAAGTAATACTTCATTATCGCGAAAACTAAAATAACAGGATCCTAAAAATTTTAGTAAGTAGTAAAGAAGGATTGCTTAAGAAGGATCAACATAAATGAACAAAAACCAGCAACAAGAATAGAGAAGTATAGAAGTCAGCTACCTGGTTAAGGATTTTTGTAAATAAGAGACAATTGCAAACACTTTTTCGCGTATGTATTTTCATTGAATTTTTCTAAGACCTTAAATATTTACCCTGCAAGGACTTTGCACAAAGAGATTTTTCATTAATGCTGCTATCCTATTCCAGTGACCTTTTCAAGGACGAGGGCGTGTCTCTACTTTTCATTTCATTATTTTGTTTTTTTTTCCTTTTTGTTGATTTTTCAGCTTCGATGACTGAGATACATGCTTTCGAAAGACTTCTAAAGGAAGATTTTACATTCTTCAGTAAAATTTGTTGTAAAAATTATCATTTAAGAGCAGAAGATCAATTAGTAAAGGTCAAATGAACAGGACAACAGAAGTGGCGCAGCGCAAAGGTCAAATGACTTTATGAAAATCACTTCACCTACTTTTCCATTATTTTATTGTTTCGAAATTCTTGAGAAGTTAACAGTTTTCAGCTTAGTTTTTTTTTTACTTTCAAGGATCATCGGTGAGAATTGTGATTTTGTGCTACTTACATATTTCGGATGCAACGACTTTCTTCTAAGTCTGTTTTGCTGTTAGTTTGACCTTTTCTAATGCGCAATCTTTTGTGTTCGTTGTTTTTCACAGTATGCGGTCCGCTGACCTATGTCCCTAAGGTAAAGATCAAATCTGTGAGTTATGCACTTACGTTACAGGTACATAGACCTCTACGTTGTATGCAACAAGTATCTTTGTGTGTGCATATTTTTTTCTTTTTTTTTTTGACACTGGCAGATATTTTTCTCGTTTATATGATATCCTGTTACTTTGACCTTTGTTAATTAACAACATTTTAGATAATTGAAATTGACCTGGTTGGCATTAAGACGGCGTTTGGTTGCTAATTGTCCTTCTTGACCTCTTATATTCTTCTTCTTATTATTTGATGCTGCAACCGACATTGACATTTGACATTTACTTACACTTGAAATTACTTCAGTGAGAACTCCTACAAGCAAACACCTTTTCCAGATCTTGTACTCCTGTTAGCTTGACCTTTCCTAATTGGCTCCCTGCTGTGCAGCCCTATGCCGTACATAGAAAACCTGTAATAACCTTACTCTCGAAATCAGAACAACGTAAATTGCGTGATTTTGGTTTCTTTCGTTTGCTGGTTAGAAGATACTTACATTCCTAATTGGCTCTTCTTGTTATCTCACCAAATAAAAAAAAAATAGTCTATCATTTATGATATCCTTTCAGTGGACATGGTTTTGAAAAATGTTCACTGTGTCAAATGCTGTTAACCTAATAACATGATCTCTTCTAATTAATCTCCTGCTGTGAAGCCGAAAATAGGAAAGAGATGATTGTGTTAATTAAGGCGGTTTTAATGGACATTTCTTTCATTTTCATTTAGTGAATTTTTCTTAGGAGTACTGGAGTTTCGCATGATAATGGGGTAAAATATATGAATTTATTTAAATTTATTTAGTAATATATGAACTTTCAATTCAAATTACACTTACAAGCTCAAAAAATTGCATGATTCATAAAAATTGGGATTTCAAACCAACTTTGACCCTTTTGATCTCTCCGAGGCTTTTTCCAAATTCATTCACAATTTTATTAACATTCTGAACAGTTAAGGGTTTTAAGGATTTGTTAATCTTATCGAGCATTTCTTCGTCAACTTCGTTGCTGTTGTTTCGCAAACTTCAGAAGTGGAATAATTTAATCTTCTAGAATACTGCGCTTTCAGTGAACGTTAGGTCACTGAGTTCAAACCATTATATTATTTGAGCTGGTGCCTACGGTTGCATTTCAAATATAATTAATTTGTATAGAATTTTTAAAATTCTTCCAGATGGACAAAAAGCAGGGTATATATGTATATTTCTTGTTGTTCTGACTTT